CATTGTCGTATGTGCCAATATGTGTAAACATCATAATTGTAACTATAATTGTGTGAACATCATGTAAATGCATGGGCACCCTTGTAAATTTGTAAACATCATCATTATAAAAATACTGGTATCATTGTTATTTTCTGGGCACATCTTCATCATTGTCAGTATCGTACAAGAATTACTGTTACCACCCTGTGAGCATCTTCTATGTCCTAGAAAAGCATGGAGGCCATCATTTATAATTCACTCTTCCTTAAAGTCCAAACCTATTTCAATGCTTCTGCAGTTAAAGCTCTGTCTCAGTTATGTGCCATGTTTTGCCTTCTCTTCTTCCATAATTTAGAAGGTTGCTATGACGCTGCAGCTGTCTTTCAGTTATCATCAGCAGTGCTGTGACAAAGAAAAATCAATTTGCAGCAGATAATTTTACACTTACACCGAGGAGTTAGCGGATACTAATATCTACAGCCCTCAAATAAACATTGATAGTACCCTAAACACTTGTATAAAATAAGATAAAGTTTAAAACATGTAAAAGATCTTCTTTACAGCTCGAGGCATTATCAGGTTTGTGTGTGGTGAATTTATGCAGACATATCAGTATTTGTTAATGTGATGTGGTCAGTATCACACCAAACACTTCTACTTTGCAGAATATTTCCTGATAGCTATTTGAGGCTGGGTTGATCTTATAAAGCTCATGTCGAGGTGTTTTTTTTTATATCCCAGCGGACACGCATGACAACTGGCTGGTAAGCAAGTGTGCTAGCTGAATGATACCCTGACTCCTCCCTGTATTATAGTACTCACTGTATTATAGTACTTCCTGTATTATAGTACTCCCTGTATTATAGTACTTCCTGTATTATAGTACTTCCTGTATTATAGTACTTCCTGTATTATAGTACTCCCTGTATTATAGTAATGGAAGATGATTGTACATCAGCGTAGTGATTAATTGACTCTGCTCCTCAGGATCCACCAGTCCCAGTGAACAGTGCTATCGCTGTTGAAGGCACACGACTGGGGCATTGTGTTCAGAAGATTGAGGATAAACTGTGCTCTAATGAACCTTACCTGGCCCAGCTGCTCAAGCTGGACAGCATTGGGACAAATATTTTATCTGAAGAAAAGGAGCAGGAACTCAGGTAACCTGGTATTTCTCGGATAATTTTGAAATATCAGTTTGCTGAAAGGCATTGTATCTCATCTGTTATTGATTTCCTTGTGAGTTAACTTTATTCTGAATTATTACCCTGAACATAAATATTTAAATTTCTTTAGTCACTTGACCAAGTTATATTTTCTAATATTTCTAACTTGTTTACTTTTTACTTGTTGTGTTAGTTAGTTTCTACCTTAATGATTGTTCTTGCAACCTGTTTTGTTCTTAAAATCTTCATGTCAGCCCATAATGTTAAAATTGTCTGATTTAGTGAGTAATTTAAATTGTTGTTCTCAAATATTATCTACAGGGTTGAATATATTTCACTCACTTTTTATTCTTTCATACTCTTTATTTGTAACCATGAGAAATACTTTTGATGAAATTAGACCTGTCTGACTCGTGTATTTATTGTGCAGGGTCTTGACCTCACTTATAAAAAAGCTAGTCCCATGTTAGATATTTTCATTAGGGTGATAGTTGTTTGGCTTTTATATATTGTAGGCCATGGTTTGTGATTGCAAAAAGCAGACAAGATGAGAAACATTTACTCACAATAGAAGTGTGGTTTCGGAGAAGCAAAGAATGTTCTAGAATGATAGAGAGAAAAATAAAATTTGGCAGTTTTCCTTGTGAGAGATGGAAACGACCAACTGAATAGAGACATTAGATGTAAGACAGTTGTGTTTTTTTTTTTAATGACATGTGAGAATGAATGGACTTGAGAACTAAGAATTTGGTGACAGCTGGCAAGATTGGTGGGGGGAAAAGCAAGGGAAAGGCAAATAAATAAATATACAGATAGCTTGGCCATATGGATGTGGCAAAACAAGAACACAGACCTCATCCATGACTTTTTTGATCGTGTGAGATGGTGAAACATGACAGCCCACACATATCCATACAAAGGCAGATAATGATGATGGGGATTTATATTCACATTTCTTTTAAGCGAGTGCACTAACACTCTGTGCTATAACAGCTCTGATGTTGCTTTTAGGGTGCATTAGGCATAATAAAAGGTCATATGATTTTACTGAGATATGGCTGTCAGGTATTTACTACACATTTCAAGAGCTGTTGCTTTTTTTTCCAGGTCTCATTTGGAATTTGAAATTTTCCGACAGCTTCAGATGCAGCGACAGGAGTCTGCTGTCTTTGATGTCACAGAGCACACAGACATGGCATGTCCACTTGTGGAGCCCATTGTCAATTTTCCAGCTAATAAAACTTTTGGACCTGCAAGTCCTGGACTCACCAGCGTACCTAATGATATGACATTTACACAGGATGGTGCCACTGGAAAGATACCTATACATCCATCACCTAAATTTAAGAATGATAATCCATCCTTTTCCAAAATCAATCCAGAGTCTTCTTTCCCCAGTCAGGAAACTCCGCATGATATGAAAGTGACACAGGACAATCCAGCTGTTCCGCTCAAATCCATTCTACTGCTGCCACCAAAGAGAAGTCAGAGCATGAAAATTCCTGGCAAACAAGCTGGTAGACACCATGTAACAGAGTCACTAAGAAATCAGAAACAGTGGCTGGATCTTTCCACAAGTGAAGCAACAAGAGAAGCAAAACTCGGCTCAAAATTTATGGGTTCTGTTTCATCTGCCCCAAAGTATCCTAAAGTTTGTGGAAAGAAGGACATGCAACCCATGAGCATAGGGTGTGAGAAAAAAGCCAAGAGTGACATTACATTTAGACAAGATGTTCTAGTTTCAAAAAGATTCACCAAAGATTTGTGTTCAGAAGCTCCTGTGAAAGTAAGGGATCCAAAAGGCTTCAACTTAACAGCTGCCACTTTAAATGCTTCCTTGGGTAATGTCAGTCCTCAGAGCTCAGAGAGTGAGAAAGGACACAGGCGCACTGACTCCTCATCGGGTCAGTCAGGACATGAGCGGTATGAAACACCAAGGGCATCATTCAAGCGGCCAGAACTGCCACCGAAACCTACGTTTTCCCATGTCATCCTGCCAGCACTGGAATCCAGCAAAGCCATGGGTGGATGGAGTCCCAAGCCCAGACAGTTCACTTTCCTGCCAGAGCTGATGAATTCTGTAGGAGCAGAGTCAAGCTCAGGGTCTGAACAAGAAGCTGCCTTGTCTAGTAAAAGAGTTGTTCAAGGCAGAAGAAACTTGAGAAAGACCAAATCTCGAGGGAAAGGTAAAGGCAGTGAAGGAAGCATCACATCTCCAATGGTACTGGCAGCTGATTTTGCTTCTAGTAAACAAAGCGGAGGTTCTGATTTTGGGATCATAATCCACCCGGTGCCCACCGGTATCAACCCAGATGATCATACTATGCCTGAAGAATATCTTAGTTGAGTCACTTTTATTGTTTACGTAACTGTTGGCATCACCTGTTGTGCTGCACTGACTTGCCTTAAGCCTACTTAGTCTGCTTGCCTTGTAATAATGACCTAGCTTCATCGCTAAGAATTGTTCAGTTGAGTTTTTTCAAATTATTTTTTTTTTAAAGTAATAAAAACATTTTAATTTATTTAAAACCAAAATGGCTATTTCTTTTTGAAGAAAATTTTATTGTTCGCTTACTGTATGTCTATATGAATGTACATCAGTGACACAATTAGTAAAGATACTTCAGCTTTTAAATTTATGTGCACTTTTAGGTGTTTATATTACGGTAATTTTTTTTTCAACATGCTACAAGTGTATTGGACTAGATATTGTTCAGTGTTACAGGAAATAAATGTTATGGTAGTCAGCAAACAGGAAAATACTTTTATGAAATTTATGTATTATATGAAATCAGATTTATTTCATGAAGATGGCCCACTTGAGTACTGTGTATTTGAGCTTTTAATGAGTACGATGTATTTCAGCTTTTAATGAGTACGATGTATTTTAGCTTTTAATGAATACGATGTATTTGAGCTTTTATTAAGTACGATGTATTTGAGCTTTTATTAAGTGCGATGTATTTCAGCTTTTAATGAGTACGATGTATTTGAGCTTTTAATGAGTATGATGTATTTCAGCTTTTATCTCAATATTTCTCCAAGATCAAGTCATTATGCATATCGACTTTTGTTTACAAAAATCAGTATTTGATTATGCTCTCTAAACATTTAACAAGGATAGTTGGACAGTGTAGCGGTAAGTGAAACATCCTTTTCATTGTACGAATGAGTAACATCGGGATAGCATATAATTAAAAAGTAATTTATGAGATAGATTAGTACGGTTGTGGTAAGCAAAACATGTTGCTGAATGACATGAAGATAACCAATGTTGTTTTTCCCATCACTGGCCTTACTGACTGGTCTATTGTGCAGTTCTGTGAAGATGATCATACTCAAGTAGATAAGATTACATACCTTTCAACCTACTAAGGGCAAAGACTGCATTGAGATCACTTTTTAGTGCAGATAATGGTTTGCCTGATAATGTGTTGGCTTGTATTTGCAAGGAGAAGAAAGGGTGCTTTCAGGAATGACCAAGCACATCTTTTGTGAGAAACAAGAGCAGAAGAGGCTTTTGCTATTGTGATACTAGATCTACAAGTTACTGTGATACTAGATCTACAAGTTACTGGTCAGCTAAAACTACTTCAGGTTGTGGGGATCATGTAAATACTCCAAGACAAGACCGGAACTTTATAACAGGGGTGTTTTGAATAAATTGAGGGTGGGTATTGATGTTGGTTCACAATAGTAGTTCATCTATACAACATATTGGAGGGGTTTGTTGAGGATACCATATAGAAATGTAACTCACAGACAATTGTTGCAGTTGGACACAGTTATTCTAATGCAAGAATCTACCATTTACTACATGTTTGTCACTGGTTGCATCAGATTTGATTTGATTTTATCATGACAACTCTGCTGTCATACCAGCGTAGATGTTTCTAGGAAATGCTACATTTCTGCAAGAGTTTTAGCCAAGTGGGTCAGTTTTCAGTGGCTAATCATAGTCAACTGCTGAAACAGTCTGTCATTTGCTTCTTTTTTTTTTTTACTTGCTTTTTTGCATGTTTCTGTTGTAAGTATATAATGAAATGATATTTGCAATACTGTTGTTTTGTACAGACATTCAACATGTGTCAGTATTATTTGCTCACATGCCATCATGGCAGACTTGTTAGCTGTTTTTTTCTTTCTTTCTGAGATGGTGCTGTTTTTTTAAATTTTAAAATGTTATTAATTTTGAAGTGTATAAGTATTTGATATACAATTGTTATTTATCAATGGTGCTAACACCTTTATTGCTGGTGTATAATTCATATACATTTGTTGTATTTTTTTTCTAACAGAAACTTGTACATGCTTTACTGTCAGTCACTGTCAGTTACTGTTTTCATATTAAAACATTATCTTTTTAAAGAATCTGATCTAGAGCAGACTGATGTAAATGATGCTCCAATTCTACCAGTAATTTGATATTGCTTCTATTATTGTTTTGATTTTAGTTGTCTGAGCTGTCCATACATATCTTTCATTTTTTTTTTTTTTAAGGAAAAGTCTTTTTTTTTTTAAATCTAATGTTTCTGTAATTAGTAATAAATTACTCTTTTTATCATCATCATCTGACATGCTGATAAGGCTGGGTGGTCATGGTTCACTCTCGCACATAAGTCTCAGATCAGGTCTCTGTTCTTGACTCGATTATTATCTTTTTAGAAAAGCCATCCAAGTATTTAGGTCTTTGTTTTACCCTTGCCCCTTTCCCATCAAAGCTCTAGCTAAGTTAGCCAGCTTACTCTCCCCCTCTCATATTAACTAGGACTGTTTGCGAGTGATTTTTCCTAATTAGTTTACAGTTTAAGTCTGTTTTTTCAAGGACAGCCTCGTTCATTTTATTTTATTCCTGGGATTATTTTCATTTTTAACAGAAACCAATACTGCTGCCCTTAAATGTTACCCAGTTTTTTTGCATAAAGTAAATACCACATAAATACTCTGTTGCTTATGACAACTCCCCTCCTCCTCCCCACTCAATCAGTAAGTAGATCTACTGATAGACAAATAAGAATTATTTTATTAAACTAAGAATTATTTAAAGCAGTAAATCCCTATCATTAGTGGTTAGAAAAAACCCAGACTTCTTGCATGTTCTTAGAGTCAATTTTAATGTATGGCTGTAAGTACGCCAACAAGTCCATTCAAACCTCAGAGGTGTCGTGTTACAGGAAAAATGCTTTAAAGTCTTTAGAAGCCTAAATTCCTTTTCTGAATGTTTTGAAAAAAGATAAACCACAAAGATAATATTATAAATAGGCAGTCATAATTTTCTGGCTATTTGATACAAGACAATTTATACATACTGGCTGGAAATATTTGTGGAAACAAATAGAGGAAAACAGGGAGAGAAGATTCTTGACATACATTCGATAATTTCACATACATTAGATCTGTACAGCTTATTAATTAAATTGCTTTGTTATTCACATTCCTTTTGTTGCTCGAATTTTTTTTTCCTGAGTGGTTCTTTTGTTATCTTCAGCCAATGACCCAGAACCTATCCTGTTCACATTGCAAAGAATATTCTTTTAGGTAATCTAATCCATACTTCTCTCTGCTTTAACTGCTACAGTTTTTATATACACTCAGTACCTAACATTTTGGAACATTCAGTATGGCTGTTTCTGTTTCTTGACTTCGTACTTTAGGATCGAGAATGTCTTGATATGTGCAGCATACTATGCCTTGTGAAAATATGCTTGTACGGTTCTTGAATAGATTCTTTACATCAGACCTTTCTGTTCTGTAAACTTTACCCTTTGGTTTTCCATTTCAGTTAGTAATTATTATAGGTGGCTTATAGCTGATGTTCATCATCCTCACTGGTTTAACACTCAACATATCTTTAGTTTTTTTCACCACAAATCTGATATTTCTCCCTGTTTGAACAAGTAGGTATCTTTCAGTTGCTGCCATTTTTCTCAAACTACTAAAGTGGTCTCATGATTTAGTTCACATTTTCAGGAACATAACATTTTATATATAAATAATAAGCATATTCTTGTCAATGAAATAATGTATTGTCATTATAGTTATGACATGCTCACAATTAAAGATATTAAAACATTTTTTGATGACTGATATTGTTTCTCCATACTTTATACACATAACTGATAATGGCCAGTGCCTTGTGGCTGCTTGTGGCACTGTAGGAAGCTAATAGCTTGAGTGTGGATTTTGTCATTGATAAGATTCCGTATATCTCAGCATATAATTTTTTATTTTCTGGATAATCAGACAAGAATTGGATGTTCCATAAAGTGTTTTGTGTATCAAAGAGCACCCCAATGGAAGGGACTTGAATATTTATTTCTGAATAAATAAATGCAACCAGAATTGACATCACGGCACTCAGGACATTCCCACAGGTGCTTCATCTCCTTCATCAGTAGCTACTGAAGCATCAGCATGCTAATAGTAATAGTACAAATGGCAACCTGATTAAAAGACACCCATGTTTTTCCCTCAGTTTTGAATATTTTCCACAACCTTTCGTTACCATGAAGTCCTAATTTAATGCCAAACATTTGCAAATCATGACACCACTTAAGTCCAGTTGTTTGGTGAACCTCTGCACCTGTAACAGAAATTGGTACCTCTAGAACCACTTTTTTTAAGGTTATTTCCCCCCCCCCTTCCCAAAACACTTGGGTATATGTCAGGTACCCTCCCCCTGTGTTTTACCATCCACAATATAACAAAATGTGATTAAAAAGAGGGGACAAAAAGACAAAACCCAAGGACTGTTAACAGAAACTTTTAGAAAAACTGAAAAAAATATGGACTCCCCCCCCCCCCCCCCCCCCCCCCCCCCCTCAAACAAAAATATTACTAAATATAGTCTTAAAGTGAGGGGTTTGATTGGTTATTAGAATCAGGGAAATCCCTAGGTTGCAAGACATAAGGTCAGCATTAGAGAGTAAAGGCTCTTGAATGTGTTAGTAGAATCTGGAACAGGGGATAACTGGGGGAATCGTCAAAAAGAGATTTATTCTATGACAGGGCCTCAGAGCTGGAAGTTATGAAAGGTGATAATCTGTACTGAAAGCTGATCATCGGCATTGAAAGCTACACTGAAGACTGAGAGAAATACAACACTGATGTGTGCTGATTGTGTCAACTAGGGACGTTGAAGATTTGGCCGTGTGATCCAAAGTGCGGACAAGTGGAACCTGGATGTGTGAAATAAGTGTCATACTGTAGACTGTCACTAGGCTGCTTATTAGTAGGACAGGCTCTTGTTGCTGATGTATTTTGATCAATAAACGTGGAATTTTCATCAACTGGTGTCAGCTGTCAAGTGGAGGAGTTGTTGGAGTTTATTCAAAAGAAACTCTGTTT